GGGAGTTAAGGGAAGTCGGCAAGTCAGATCTGTAACTTCGGGATAAAGATTGGCTCTAAGGGCTGGGTCGGTCGGGCTGGGGTGCGAAGCGGGGCTGGGCGCGCGCCGCGGCTGGGGGAGCAGCCGCCCCGTCGCCCTCCCCCCCTCCGCCGCCGGAGGGGCAGCGCGCGGCCCGTCTCGCGGGGCCCGGGTCCGTCGGGGGGGGCGCTCCGGCGCCTTCCCCCGCGGCTCGGCCTCGCGGGGCGGTGTCCGCCGCTGCCCGGAAGGCGGGCCGGCGGGGGGGGATGCGGTCGGCGGCGGCGGCGGCGACTCTGGACGCGCGCCGGGCCCTTCCTGCGGATCTCCCCAGCTGCGGTGCCCGTCCGGGTCCCACCGGGCGGGTGTCCTCGGCTGGCGCTGGGTGTTGACGCGATGTGATTTCTGCCCAGTGCTCTGAATGTCAAAGTGAAGAAATTCAATGAAGCGCGGGTAAACGGCGGGAGTAACTATGACTCTAAACCGGAAGTGACTCACCCAACCGCTGTTACCTCTTACCTTGTGCTGCCTACCACTGCCTGTGCCATGGTTGCTGTCTTGGGTTTATGCAAATGCATAAACCCAAGACAGCTAAATAGCTAACCAAGTCTGTCTTTCACAGATACGCATCCTGACCACTCTCATCTGTCCAGGATGTCCAAGCCACTAAGCGAGGTCCCCCAGTGGAGTACACCCATCAGAGGAGCCAAACGTCAGTGATCCAGCGTTTCTGAGGGAGCACCTGGTAAACCCACCAGCTTCTGGCTCAAGAAGAGACCCCCCTCTTCTGAGAGGGATCCTGATCTCACGCCCACTTCTTATCCAAATCTGCACCCCCTGTTAAGAGACTCTTCTCTGTGACTCCCCCCAGGTGCAACATACTGTTCTTCAGTACCTCCAAGAACTGGAAGAACCTCATGTCGTCCAATCTCAGATTGCCGACGTGTTAAAGTGGGTTTTCGAATGCCATGGCGGGAACAGAGTTACCCATTGTGTCCAGGTTCTGTCCCCCTGACTTCTGCCAGGGAGGGCATTACCCACTTCTCTACTAGACACAAGGCTCACAAGGTTGAGTGGTTCTGCATCAAATGTCACTGTCATAAGAAGAGTCTTGCCAGCGCAGCTGTCCATGCTGGAAAATGTGGCCTCAAACCTGTGAAACCCCCTGTGTCCAAACCATTCGGATGTGACATATGTCCGGCTTCCTTTGGCTCAAAAAGAGGACTTTCCCTTCATAAGAGAAGGAAACATCGTGAGACACCCCGGGTACCTGATACGATACCTTCCTGTATTGCCTCCATGGATGTGCCCACCGATGAGACAATACCTGAGTGTTCCTCTTCTCCGGTCAGTTTGCCGACAAAACCGGAAAATAAAGAGATCTCTTTGAGGAAATTGCTGAAAAAGAGATTCAAAAACTTTGTTGCTCCAATAAGCGGCCTTCTCCCGCTTAAATCACCTTGGGCGGTGGTCAACCGGACCCTTTGTAAATACATCAAAAAGATGAGGGCCATCAAATCCCTCAAATGCGAACCTGCTGTCTGTCGGAAAAACGCCACCCATTCCCATGGGAAACAGAAAGTCAGAAGTCCTAACGCTCAGTACCTGCAATGGCTTATCAAGCATAACCTCAGTGCTGCAGCCGCCCTAGTCCTCCAGGGCTCCGGCCTCCAATCATGTCGGTTGAGTAACGAAGTGGTGGAATCCACATACCGAGCTTTATGGGAGGGGCAGGACAGATTTGCTGGTCTAGGAGTATTTGGAAGTATCTCAGAAGCTGACAATGGGCATCTCAGGTCCCCAGTCTCCCCAGATGAGGTTCTCGATACCATCAAGAGCATGAATGAACACTCAGCCCCTGGACCAGATGGTGTGCGCAAATCCCACCTCCTTTGCTGGGATAAGGATGGTAGTCTTTTAGCTTGTCTATTCAACTCCATCCTCTATAATGAGAGACTTCCCAAAATCCTCAAGGGAAGCCGCACTACTCTGGTCCCCAAGTGTCAGGACAAGAAGAAACTCAAACTCATTGAGAACTGGAGACCTATTACCCTCAGCTCAGTGATTCTGAGGATCTTTCCAAGCTCCTTTACAGCCGACTCAGCGAAGCTTGCCCCACCCACCCTTCCCAGCGTGGATTCATTAAAGGGGAAGGCTGCAGCACCAACTTGATGATAGTTGATGGCCTGGTCAAGGTGGTCCAGAAGGACAAAGGTACTCTCGCGCTGGTCCTTGTGGATCTTGCAAGGGCTTTTGACACTGTTTCCCATAAACACATCCTGGAGGTCTTGAAAGCCAAGGGAGTGGATGAGGGGATCTGTAACCTCATAAAAGACTCATACCGGCACTCGTTCTCCAGAATCCAAACTGGACATGGGGTTTCAGGCAAGATCACCCTACGGATTGGGGTCAAACAAGGTGTTCCTCTGTCCCCCCTCCTTTTCAACTTGGCTCTCTTGTCTTACCTTGAAACTAATGGCACGGGCTTCAGGCTTAAGGGTCAAACCATCACGACCATCGCCTATGCGGACGACTTGGTGATAATAAGCAACTCATGGAAAGGCATGGAATCGAACTTGAGCATCCTTGGCGAGTTCCTGACTAACACTGGTCTTGATGTCAAGATCCACAAATGCAGTGGCTTTTTCCTTGACGGTTCTTCCGGCTCTATGACGGTCAATCACTGCAACCCTTGGACCATCAAAGGCGTCCCGATACCCATGCTCAACTCCAACCACTAAACAAAATACTTGGGAGTGGACTTGAGTCCTGCCAAGGGCATCATAAATGTGGCCCCCCTAAGACCCACCCAAAAGCTGACCTTGCTGTCGTCCTACGGAATCCCAAGAGTAATGTACCAAGCTGTCATGAGCATGGTGAGTGTCGTGGACCTCGGGGCTGCTGACCGTCTGATCCAGAAGGAAGTTAAAGCTTGGCTTCATCTTAAACCGTGTACTACCAACGGTCTGTTATACTCCAGGAAAAGAGACGGAGGTCTTGGACTCCAAAGGCTCGGTAAAATGGTCCCCATTGCCCAAATGAACAGATGGAGCAAACTTTTGATGTCTGAGGATCAGGTCTGCAGAACTCTGGCCAGAGCCTTCCTACCAAAAAGTGACCTTGATATAAGGTGGAGAGCAGCCCACGGCACTGAAAGGAAGGTCAAGCTGAGACAAGCGCTGGAATCCTCTGAACCCACTACTATCCGGCCTGACTGGAGGAAACAAGAATTCCTCAATTGGATCACCATGAGGTCCCAAGGAAGAGGCCTGACCTCCTTCCGAAATGATCCGATCAGCAATTAGGGGCTGGGTCCCTACCTTACCAGGGGCACGAACTTCCAGGGCCTGCGTGCTGGAGGGTTTAATCCGAGGAGGGGTGCTTAAGTGTGGGTACACATGTTCGGATGGAGGGCCTGGTCCTCTGTGTATGTCTAAAAAAAGTTCTAAGTCCCAACCAGCAAAGGAGAAGGGGGCTGCCTGGGGGAAGTGGCCGGGGATGAGAGCCCGTCCCCCTTGAGCCCAAGACCGCATGCCCCCCCCCCCTTGCCTTACCAGAGGCACGAACCTCCAGGGGCCGCGTGCTGATGGGTGTAGTCCGAGGAGGGGTGCTTAAGTGTGGGTGCACAGGTGAGTGTGGAGAGCCTGGTTCTCTGGACGGGTCTGCCAGTTTGTTTCTCTCCCCGGAGCAAAGCCTGGATGTGGGTTAGTGTCCTGGGTGTGCCTGCCTGGAGCTCCATGCCTGGTTCTCTGCCTGGAGCTCCATGGCCTGTCCCCTGCATGTGTGTGCGGGCCTGGAGCTCCATGCCCTGTCCCCTGCATGTGTGTGCGGGCCTGGAGCTCTACCTGAGGGTGAGATCTGGAAATGAGCAACACATGTGATGCAGTAGCTGGGTGAGATCTGGTTATTCAAGAACTGCTGGGATCATATTTGATTCAACTGAGCCAGCCAAGCCAACCCTCCCTCCCCCAGGTAATTAAAGAGATGCCTGGAGCTCCATGTCTGGTCCTCTGCCTGGAGCTCGGGGCCTGGTTTTCTTCCTGGAGGTCAGGGCCTGGAGCTCAGGGCCTGGTTCTCTGCATGGCCATGCGGTTCTGGAGCAACCCCCAACCTACCCTCCCCCAGCCCAGGTAATTAAAGAGATCCGTTTGTTTCACATTTAACTTCTTTATTGAACTTTTTTTTAACTGGTTTGCTCCGTCTCTCTCTCCGAATCTCCCGGGGGGCTGGTAGAGGATTCCAGGTCCGAAGAAGAGTTACCTTGGCGGGGGAGCGGTGGGCTACTCTCCCCGGAGCCTGGAGAGGAAGATTGTGGTGCTGTAGCCCTGTCAAACTTGCTTCTGATGTCCGCCAGTTGTTCCGCAGTGAGCTGGTTGGCATAGAACCTGTCTGCAGTCCTGGTGTCGTGGCACATGACCCGGGCGAGTTGTCCTCTGACCTCGCTGCTGTGTGCATCCCTTGCCTGAAAAACAGAATAAAAATGTATTAAAAAACCTGGTGGTTTTTTTTTCTCCCCCCCCCCTCTGACCGGAGGAATGTGCTACCCACATGTGTCGCCACTGCGCTGCGGAAATCAGTCATGGTCGGCCGGCCTGGGAGCCCCATCTCCGTCCAGGCACACTGGGAGAACCGCGTCAGCTTGGCGATCCGCTTCTGGTTGCTGCTGAACAGCAGAAATTTGCGCGGTGGGTTCAGCGTGCTCCGGATCGACAGCCAGCGGACGATCCAGGTGAACTCCGCGTGGGTCAAGAACAGCTGGGCAGCTCCGAAGGCCCTGTTGGTCTTGTGGTTCCTCNCCTGNGAAGGGATGAGATCGTGAGCTCCAGGAGCATGGAGCTCAGGGAACATGCTTCTCTGCCCCGAGCTCCATGCCCCTGGTTCTCATACATCCACTTACATTGATTACAAAGCCTGGAGAGCCTTCCTCAGCATCCTCTATCGCCTCCTGGAGCTCCTCCACCGTCATTTTTGTCAGCACGCCAGGCCGGTGGCCGTAGACAGCAGACAGGTAGCAGGCCAGGTAGCCGTAGAGCCTGTGGCGGAGCTGGACGTTCGGTGGTGCTGCCCCCAGCTTCCCCAGCAGGACAGGGATGGTCGCCGTGGCCAGGCTCTTGCACTTCCGCAGGTGCTTCCTGGTGATGGACCTCTTCGCCTTGGAGCGCTTAACGGAGATCTGGTGGAGCGTTATCTCGGTTCCGATCTGCTGGAGGTCCGCTCTGACCGCCCTGCCCACCGCCCTGATCTGTCTCCTGGTCAGCCTGGATCCTCTCGGCGGAGTCTCGGAGAAGTAGTCCATGAACTGTGAGAAGTTCACCAGGTAGACCTTGACGGTTGTTATGGTCCTCCGCTTGTCCTTCAGGGCTTGTGGGAAGGCGTGGATCTTCTCCAGGTCATGCATGAACGCCCAGGTGGCGTTGAGAGGTTTCCCCCGGGCAACGAAGGAGAGAAGGGTCCGGATCCGGCCCAGCTTGGAGCGTGCATTCATGCGGTGCTGTGGGGTGGACAGCGCGCCCCTCAGGTGTGTGTGGTACTCCTCCAAGTAGCTCTCCACGGCTGCGGGGAAGACGAGAGGGGCAAAGGGCAGCAGGGCAAGCCCTCGGACCGCCCTGGTGCTGCTGGAGCTGGCCGGAGGGTCAGAGTCGCTCGTCTCCGTCCCGGCAGGAGCAGGAGAGCCAGGGTTGGAAGCAGGACCAGGAGGGGGAGGAGGAGAGGGAGAGCCGGCGTTGGTAGCAGGACCAGTAGGATGAGTAGGAGGGGGAGAGCCGCCGTCGGAGCCAGGAGGACGAGAGCTGGCGTTGGAACCAGGACCGGGGGGAGGCAAGGCAGGCAGAGAACCAGGTCTGTGAGAGGAGCAAGGCGAAGAGTCCCTACCGGAAAGGTGCTCCGGAGAAGAGGAGACATCTCCGTCCTCCCCCGGCGATTCTGGGGCCGGTGGCTGCCGCTCCGAGACGTCCAGCTCGGATGCTAGCTGTGGCGTGGGCTCCGTGGACCTCAGCTCTGCCAGCGCGCGGAGGGTGGCCCTCCAGTGCAGAAGGCGGAGGTGGTCCCTCACGGCCCCGATGTCCAGCTCCCTGTGACCGCTGTAGAGGTGGCGGTCGACCCTCAGACCTTTGTAGTTGCACCCCCGGACGGGACAATCCAGACCCCGGACGTTGACCCGTCCGTGGGCAAATGCCAGGAGGATTTTCCGCTCCTCCTTGTTCAAAACGTGGTGAACCCTTTCTAAATGCTTCGGCAGCTGAGCAAACTTACTGCAGCAGATGGGACAACGTCTGTAGGGTCCTTGGTGTGGCATCTGGAGGCTTCCCTGGTGCTCAAAACGTGGAGTAGAAGCGTCTCTGTCCGGCTGCCGGGGCTGGAATGAGCAGGTGCACCCTATTTTGGCCAATTACCTGCAGGGGAACGGCGGGGCGCTGCCGCTGCCCTCCAGCCAATCAGTGCTCAGGCTTGCCCTGGCAGTGTGAGCGGAGGCAGGGCAGCGCTCACGCCCGCCCTGGCAGTGTGAGTGGAGGCAGGGCAGCGTCAACCGCGGACAACTGCCATTCGCCATAAGGTGGGTCAGGGGTCAGATTTAGGGCTAAGGTATGAATTGAGTTTTGATTAGGGATAGGGTTAGGGTTAGGTATGTGATGGT